GGGGGGGGGGGGGGGGGGGGCCTGTGAGGGCCAGGCTCCCGCTGCAGCACTAGAACCACCTGGAGAGCTTGCGACGGGCCCACCCTCTGCGCAGGAGGGAGGCGGCCCAGCAAAGCGGGTCACCCCTCCCCCAAGGGCAGGGAGCCGAGGTGGAAGGATCTGGAGCCCCAGGCCACAGGGCCTCCCAGCCATAAGCCCAGAGCTTCAGTTCCCACATCCAGGCGTGGCCTTCAGACACGCACCACATAGCGGGTGCTGACGGGGACACAGGAGAGCGCGTCACCCCCAGCCACCCCCTAACAGCGCCCCTGTTCCTGCCCAACGGCAGTCCTCCGTGGGGTGAAGTCCGTGGGGTGACCGCGAGGAGAGGCTGCTTGGGACCTCAGCTCTCCCTAGGGCCAAAGCCTCCCCCGCCCCGGGGCCAGGTGGGACTTGCGGCTGCGCTCCCGTTCCCTTGTCCCTCTGTCACTGGTCCCCAGCTTTGCCGGGGCTGAGGGCCCATCTTACTCCGCCCTGCACAGCTCCCGTAACCAGGGCCCAGGCGGATTCCCGCGCTCTGCCCCGCAATCCCAGGAACCAGGGAGCGGCAGAGGGCGGTGATGGGTCGCGGTGCTCCCGCACTGTCCTCCCCGGTCCTTCTACCTGCTGCAGGCAGGATCCCACCTGCTCGGCCAGAGGCCAGGCGCTCCGGCGGGCCACCCCCAAGCCGGGACAAGGAAGGGACAAGGCTGGCGTTCTGAGGCCGCAGGTAAAGAGCGTGAACACCTGGCAGGCCCGCAGAACACCGGCCAGGGGACCTGGAATGGCGGCGGTGGCACTTTCAGGTGAGGAGACATACGTTTTCTTTAAAAAGGGTTAATGACGCCTTTGTCGTTGCCTCCCCAGGAACCACTAAAGGCCTGGGGAGGAAGCCCACAGTGGGGGTGGGGAGCGCTCCGGGACTCATCTGCTTCCACCACTTCGATTTCAGCTGAGGAGACCAATGAGGTCAAGGGGAAGGGCCAGACCGAGGTCTCAGCCAGGAAAGGACACCCGCCCGGGGCAGCCGGCTTCTCGGAGCAGCAGGACGAGCCTGGGTTCCAGCCCCGGCTAAGCTGGAATCCCAGGTCACGGGCGCCCAGCCCTAAGGCTCCGTTTCCACGCCCACAGGGGAAACTGCCGGGCGGTGAGGAGGGACCCGCTCCCCTGACAGGTTCCTCGCCCTCAGAAGCCCGGCCTGGGCGTGCGGCACCGGGATCAGGGCCAAGCTGACCTCGGGGGCCCGGGTCTCACAAAACCGAGGAGGGCTTAGCAGGAAGATGTCCCGGACTCGGCTCCAAAGGGCCCTCCTGAGGGAAGCCAGCTCTCGGCCGCCTGCCCCTGCCTAGGGTCCAAGCCCAGAGGCCAGAGAGAACCGGGCCTCCCGGCCCCGGGGACGCAGAGTCACCACGCCGGTGCGGGCTCCTGGGCCGGCCAGGTGGAGATGCGACGGCGCGCGACGGCCCAGGCGGCCCGGTTCACGGCACTCACTCTCCGCTGTGCCGGGCTTTGCCCGTCAGCCGGCGGCGCTGGGCCTTGCTCGTCCGAGTGGCGCTCGGAGGCTTCCTGGTGGAGTCCTGGGCCTGGCGGGGGGGCTTCCTTTTGCTCTTGTGCCTTCTGCGGCTGTGCGCGTGCAGCGAAGCCGTGAGAGCGGAGACCCTGGGGGAGGGTGCGAGGCCGGGGAGGCTGGGGAACGGGGCACGGCTGGAAGGCTGGGCTGGGGGGGCGACTGAGGACGTGCCGGGCTCGCGGAGGGCGTCAGGGCGGGCCTGGCGTGCCGGGGGGACCACAGCCGTGCCAAAGGCGGCCTGCGCTGCCCCCAGAGGGCCCGCCAGTTCCTCGGCTCACGAAACGGCCCTTACCCCAGGCACCGAAGGCACCCAGGGCTGGCCATTCTCGGGGAGTGGGGCTGGGGGACGGGGGAGGAGGAAGGGACTGAGGCCCCCTCAACAGGGAGAGCCGAGTGGCGGCTCCAGGCCCCACAGCTGCCCCGTGCCACCCGCCACAGGCCAGGTGACTCCACAGGCACGGTCACCACGGTCAGCCATGAGGAAGCAGTGTCCGGGGGAGGGGGGGGATGGGCCAGGGCTCACCTCTGGGACAGGAGGGGGTCCCTGGACTTCCTGGGCAAGGCTCTGGTCGGCTTCTCCGTGGAGGACGCCTCTTCCTCGGACCCGCGCCCAGCCGCTTGCTGGAGAACACAGGACAAGAACGGTCACAAAGAGCAGCAGGTCGGGAGGCCTGGCTCGGAGCAGTCACGGCTGTCACGTGAGGGCACAGCCCGCTGCCTCGAGGCCTGGCTTGGGGCCCGGGGAAGGCCGCGGGGGGGATGGGGCAGAGCCATGTGCACCCCCAATGCAGGGATCACACAGGGAAGAGCTGTGTTTCGGGGCCTCATCCCCATTGTCCGAGGTGTTTCACCTGTGTGTGTCTGACCGTTCACGGTAAACTGAGGCCAGGCGGGGGGGTGTGTGTGCAGAAGAATGGGCACAAAACAGAAGGTGAGGGTGAGATCACTAAGCGGGGGGATAAGGTGGCAGCTCAGGACTTAAGGACATTTGACCCCGTGGCACAAAGCGTCGTTTGCCTTGTTAACTGCACACCTACTGGGACGTCCATCAAACAGCCGTCCATTTAACCAGACACGAACGTGTCACAGGTGATACTGAACTGGGCGGCTCACTGACATATCTGACATATCTTCAATGACGTTCCGTTCGCTTTCCGTTCGCTTTCCTTTTTTTTTTTTTAAATGTTTTCACTCGTGTTTCCTTGGGAACAGCTTAGGCCTTTCTGCCCGCGTTTCATTTCCCGGTCGCTTCCGGAGCCTCTCCCTTCGCCGCCACTGGCAGTGGATGCCTACCCCCGCCCCAGGCGGGGCAGCCTGTCACACCGCCATCGGACTCGGAACCACATCGCACTACCGCTTCTCCCAAAAGCAGCGTTTTCAGGCTGCCCTTCAGTGGCAGCTCTGGAGGCCAGGAGTCGAGGCCCACTGACTGCTTTTAAAAGGTGGATCCTTTTTTTTTGTTTTTTAAACTGTTGGTGGCAATCTGCTACCACCTCCCAGCTCAGAGCCGGACAACTCCCCCTTTGCGCGCAGGGCTGTGACCTGTTCTTGCTGCTATCATGCAATGGGGGGACCCCGATAAAACAGCAATTTTGGGTCCTCCGTTTGGGTTAACCGCCTATATATGCACAGCAAGCCCATGAGCCAGGCGCTATCGTCGGAAAGCCCCCCAACATACTAGGGAAGAAAGGAAATGGCGAGGGAGACGCCAGCCCACGCTCCCACGGCAGCTCAGTCATGGCCCGGCTTCTGCAAGCCCGAGTCAGGGACTATGTCTGCACCCTGTGTCCTCACCCGGCAGGGAGACGCCCCGCGCACCAGAACCCCTACCCGTAACAAGGGCCGGCACTCAACAGCCCCGACAAGCTGGTCTGCACCGGGGCTCCTTCCCTCCTGGGGCCGCAAGTCACACCCACCTCGGGAGGGGGCAGTCCAAGCAGCCGGGCCCCCGAGAGGTCCAGGTCACTGATGGTGGTAACGGTGACTGTGTGGTTAGGATGGTCGTACTGCACTGACTCAGTCTTTGCTGTCACCAACCTGTCCAGCTCGTCTGCCTCCTCTGTGCAAGGCGGGTGCAGAAGCAGGTCTTAGCCTCACAGCACGACTGACCAGATTCCAACCCCCCGCCCCCACCCCAGCCCTGGAGCCCAGCAGCCTCCGCCTCTCCACTGGAGAGTGTCCAGGAAGTCACCAGCTCCAGAGCCTGGCGTGGGGACAAATGTACGTGATCCAACTCCTCCCTTGATGCTCCAGGGGGACCTTAGACAGACCCATTGTGACCCCAGCGGCAGCTGCTGCTGCCTGTCCCCTCTATCCCTAATCCCTCTAGGCCTCTGAAACGGGGCTCTCTGCTCTGGAATCACTTTACCAAGAGGTCTGTCCTTCTTGTCCCTGATCCACTCACATTTACACATTCCTGAACACCACGCCTGGCCCCCAGGTCACCACCAAGACGCCCAGAGCTGGGGAAGTTAGCTTCTGTGCAGCTCCCACACCTCTCCCCCTTTCACCCACCAAGGGATAAAGGCCTGTGAGCTATTCTCCAGGTCAGGGCAAAGCTGGGACTCACCCAGGGCCTCCTCTCTCTCTGCCAGCATCTTCAGGTACTCCTGATGGCGCTGAGACCAAAAGAGAAGGGAACACAGTGAGTCTGGCCGCTCCGGCCAAGCCCAGGCAAGGGCACTGCTCACCTCCAGAGTGAGTGAGACCATGCACAGCTCAGAATGAGACACTAGGAGATTCGATCCTAAACATTCTGCAGACCTGGCTGGGCTCACGATGATTCTACCTGTACAACCTGCTCCCCACGCCTGCCCACACCTCCCCTCATTCCCGCGGATGCCCCTATTAAGGCCATTCAAGGCCGTAAATCCCTTGGGAGTCAGATTTTTCATATACGCATGCACACTCTGTCTCCCTAGCTCTCTGGGTGGCTCCCTCCTCCCTCCAGCCTCCCCCCTGCACCTCCTCCCGGAGCTTCTTCTGCTCCTCCTTGAGCCGATGCTTGATCTCCTCAATGGCTGCCTTCTTCCGCTCTACCTTCCGCTTATGGAAGCCAGTCAGGTACTCCCTACAGGAAAGGGGCGACGGAGAGTCAGGAGGGGACACAAGGAAAGGCAGGCTCCAGGGACAGAAAAGTCACGACTACTGCACTGCCCCCAAAATGAACACGGCTTAACTCAAGGATTCCTCACAACAACGTGTGTAGTAGGTATCAATCCCCATTTTACAGATGGAGATGCTGAGGCACGGAGAGGCTAGGTTATTTGCCAAGGGTCACACAGAGTATAAGTTTAGGAAAAAGAGGGAGGGGCGCCTGGATGGCTCAGTCGGTTGAGCTTCCGACTTTGGCTCAGGTCATGATCTCACGGTTCGTGGGTTCGAGCCCCGCATCAGGCTCTGTACTGACAGCTAGCTCAGAGCCTGGAGCCTGCTTCAGGTTCTGTATCTTCCTCTCTCTCTGAACCCCCCTGCTCACGCTGTCTCTCTCTCTTCTCTCTCAAAAATAAAATAAAAACATTTTAAAAATTAAAAAAAAAAAAAGGAAAAAGAGGGAGATGCTGTCTCTTTCCACCCACTACCCTCCAAGGTTCTGGGCTTCCAGCAACAGGGCCGAGTGGGGGCCCCTTCTACACTGCAAGATTCCATTAGCCAGGTAAGGATTAAGCCACATCTAGCAAGGCTTTTAGGGCCACGCTCATCCAGGCGTCTGCGAACTTTGAACCAAAGATGGGGCGCCTGGGTGGCTTAGTCGGTTAAGCGTCCGACTTTCGCTTAGGTCATGATCTCGCGGTTCGTGGGTTCAAGCCCCGCGTCGGGCTCTGTGCTGACTGCCAGCTCAGAGCCTGGAGCCTGTTTCAGTCTGTGACTCCCTCTCTCTCTGACCCTCCCCTGCTCGCGCTGTCTCTCTCTCTCCTAGAAATAAATAAAACATCTCTCTCCTAGAAATAAATAAAACATTAAAAAAAAAATTAAAAAAAAAAAACAAAAAAAAACAAAGAGGCATCCCATTCCCCCAGGACACCTGCCCCCTGGACCCACCTGTAGGGTGGTGCCTACCTGGTCTGGTGCCACCCTGCGTCTCCCGACGATGCCCCAGCATTTCCCTCCCCTACCTGCTCTTGGCTCCTTCTCATCTCTCTAGTGCTGGCTGCACCATCCCCAAGCGTTCCGGGGCCCACCCTCGGCTTTTCGCTGACCCACTACCATATGCCACAGTGGCACTCTGAATGGATGGCATCTGAGGGACCGGCCGCTGAGGCTCAGGGGTCCTGCGATCTGGCGCGCACACCGAAGGAGCTCAGTACACGTCTGACGAGTGAATAAATGAACTTGAGCCACTTTCCTCTCATTCACTCGTCATTTATCAACAACAGCTGAGTTTACCGCGTGCGGGGCCGCGGGGCTGAGCTAGGGAGGTCGAAGGCACAGCCACGAGCCCCCAGTCTCCTGCCCCTCCCCCTCTCCGGACCCCCCTCCCCACCAAAGCGCACCCAGCCCGAACGAGGTGCAAAGTAAGCCAAGAGGGGGCGGAGCGGGCAATTCCATTCCCCAGGCTGGGGGCCGCCAGCGGCCGCTTCCATTCCGCAGTGGGGGTGGGTGTCGAAGAGGAACCGCGGCCACGCCCAGAGGGCGTGGCCGGAAGGGACCTCGGCGTGAGCGTAAGCCTCCTGGGCCAGGCCGTGGCCTTGGCCGGTGGCCCGAAGGAGATCCGCTCCGGCCTTGGCACTCACCGCCGCTTCTCTTCGTCGAAGCTGAGAACGAGCCGCGGCCGCCGGTCGTCGCCATCTCGTTTTTTCTTCTTGTTGCGGCCCATAGCGGCGAGGCCTCCGGCGGCGCGGCTCCCGCACGCCCGAGACACTTCCGGGTGTAGCGTCTTTACCCTCCCGGCCGCGCCGCGCACCCTGGCTCCGTTGTTCCGTTACTCGGGCCCCGCCTTTTAAAGGGGCCGCGGAGGGGCGCATGGGTGGCTCAGTCGGTTGGGCGTCGACTTCCGCTCAGGTCATGATCTCACAGGGTCGTAAGTTCTAGTCCCGCGTCGGACTCTGTGCTGACAGTTCGGAGCCTGGAGCCTGCTTCGGATTCTGTGTCTCCCTCTCTCACTACCCCTCCCCCATTCGTGCTCTGTCTCTCAATAATAAATAAATGTAAAAAAAAAAATTTAATAAAATAAAAAAATAAAGAGGCCGTGGAGCCGGCCTCCCCAGCCCTGCCTTTTGGCTGCGACACGCAGATACCTTTCTCCTCGGTGATTCTTAACCCCAATCCGTCTCCTAGACTAGCCAATAGTGAAAGCGAGGTCCCAGAGCCTAGCATACAGCAGGCGTTCAGTACGGAGTTAATACTAAATGGCCAAATATTGCTGATCTTAACTTTTGATTCTGATTCCACGTCGTTGGTGGTCTCCAAGAGCACATTTCTGGGGCCAATCTGTCTGGACTGGAACCCTGGTACCCCAATGTCAGCTGTGGTGCTGGACCAATTGCCTTTGATTTGCTGCAATTACCCTATTTGTAAAGTGGGGATAATGATAGTGACTTTGCAGGGTTATTGCAAGGCAGTGGTTTTCGAATTTTGGCCTTCATCAGAATCCCCTGCAGGACTTGCTGAAACCCAGATCGCTTTGCACCCCCCTTGAGTTTCTGATTCAGCTGATGGAGAATGAGCCCCATAATCTGCATTCCGTGCAAGTTCTCAGGTGATGCTGATATTGCTGGTCCACCGGCCACACTTTGAGAACAACGATTCTGAGGAAAAGTAACATTGTGTATAAATCATACATGCCATGTGTGTATTTGCTACACAAGCCATCTCCCCGCTGTGTGTCAGTTTCCCCCAGTGTGGCATGGGGGCGTAACAACACACGGTCTACTGAAAATGAGGGCACACACGTGTGAAGGCATTCAGGAGAACACCACCAACAGGGGAATTTTAGTAACTAGGATTGTATGCCTGAATCCTACATCTCAGTTCGTCTGTGCTGGCTGCCGTGGACCAGCTGCCCCCATTGCTTTTAAGGACTGGCCAGTCTGGCAGAGTTGATGATCATTACAGTGCAGTGAAAAATGCAGGAGGCTTCTGGAGCTCAGTGTTGGCTCCTGAGGCCCAGAGGGCTTCTCAGAGGAGGTGACCCCAGAACTAGCTGAGAGTAGGGACATAGGAGTGCCTACTGTGTGCCAGGCACACAGAGAAGAGACTTATTCTCTCAGCAGATGCAACTTATCCAGGGTTACAGGGCTTCTCTAGGTCCAAGCTGGGACTTGAACCCGAGTCTGTGGCCTCCTGGTCCAGCTCCCGGGGCCACTGGCCTGAGGGATCACTCCCGCAGTAGCTCACATGCCTGCTCTGGAGGGCAAGATGCAGACCCTGATCCTGCGGTTTTTTTGGGTGTTGTTTTGGAAGGAGCCAAACACACAGTAGGTACATCTCTCTGTGAATGTTGAACCCATGAAGGGTTCCATGGTGGGTGCCGAGAGGAAGTTATCCTCGAACCCAGGGCACAGCGGGGGACTGCCTGAATGGTGGGGCTTCCTGGTGGTGAACAATTTCCCTTCTGACCTTTTGCCCCTCGGTGCCCACACCCTAGCGCCACCCCTGGTACCCTCCCTCTGGCTTCCTCCTGGGTCCCAGGCACCCAGTCTCAGGGCTGCTGCCTGCTGTTTACCAGGTCCCCCGCCCCAAGCAGACTGGCTATAGATGAAAAGTCAAGGGTCTGCCGCTGGACTTGATAGATCATAAACCTCCCTGGCTCCTTCCCTCTCCACAGCCCATCCGTTCAATCTCCCCCTCTGCTGAGGAATGTTCTCGGGGCCTCCGTGGATTATCTCAATTGATCCTCCCAAACTCCCTGTGACTCAGTGCTGCTTTCATCCCTATTACACAAGTGAGGGAACAGGAGGCTCAGACAGGGGAAGGGCCTTGACCAAAGTGGCTCAAGTAGTAAATGGGGCACAGAGCCATTCCCTGACTTCTGTCCTCCCCCAGCTTCCGGTCTGACTCTGAGACAGGGACCGGGGAAGGGGACAGCTGCTCCTGCAGGACCTTGTTGGGGAGCTCTGAGTGGGTGTGGGTGGCTCCTGCAGCCCACCCAGCCCTTGCTGCCTGCCTGCCCCTGCGGGGCTCTGGGGGACCTTGGGTCTAGAAGCTTCCAGTGCAGGGGTGCCTGGGTGGCTCAGTCCAGTTAAGCGTCCGACTTCAGTTCAGGTCATGAGCTCACGGTTCGTGGGTTCAAGCCCTGTGTCGGGCTCTGTGCTGACAACTAACTCAGAGCCTGGAGCCTGTTCCAGATTCTATGTCTCCCTCTCTCTCTCTCTCAGAAATAAATAAAACTTTTTAAAAAATTTAGAAGCTTCCAGTACAGAGCAAAGCCCAACACCTCAGGCAGGCCTTGTGGCTCCCCACTTTCCAGGGCATTTCAGGTCCTCTTGCCCCCAGGAGAGGAGATGAGACCCCACCGGACTCCAAAACTTGAGAGCCCTTTACAGCAGCTCATGGTCTAAAACACCTACCACTCTTTGGGTTGGTTTTTCCTTGAAATCATTGTTTGTTAATGTTTATTTATTTTTGAAGGAGAAAGAAACAGCGTGAGCGGGGGAAGGACAGAGAGAGAGGGAGACACAGAATCCAAAAAGGGCTCCAGGCTCTGAGCTGTCAGCATACAGCCCGACCCAGGACTCGAACACATGAACGGTGAGATCATGACCTGAGCCGAAGTCAGATGCTGAAAGGACTGAGCCACCCAGGCGCCCCTCCTTGAAATCATTTTTTATGTTTACTGAGCACCTACTGTGTGCCAGGCACCATGCATTTCTGTGTTATTTCAGCTAATGCTTGCAACAACCCCACAGGGGGGATACAGTATTTGTGCAATTTGATGATGAGGCAATCGAGGTTCAGAGAAGTCTAGCAACTGATCCCAGGGCACACAGTGATGGAGCTGGGGTTTGGGCACAGATGTGTTTGACCCCAAACCCAGTTTCCTTCTTCCAAACCCAGTGGTGTCATTCTCTATCTGCCCTAGGGCTTTCCTCTGCCCTCTTGCGGTCCCTCCCAGACCTGATGAACGGCGAGACTACAGAGAATTAGTGGGGCCGAACCCGGAGGACCCGAAAAAGGCAGTCCAAGAGACACTTTCCCCGCTGTCCAGCAGAGGGCGCCCCACCACAGCCAGGCTTCCAAAGCTGTTTCCCTCCAGGCGGCCACGTGGGTGCCCCAGGAGAGCCTGGACATTTGGGTGTGGCTCATGGCAGCCCCCATCCTGTGCACTCCATCCTCCTGGGGCCCTGTTATAAGGATGTGCTCCCTAGGGGACCCACTGAGATGAAAATCGCCCACCCAAAAGGGTTCAGGTGCAAATAAGGGCCCCCATTTTACAGATAAGGAAACTAAGTCTTGGGGTGGAAGAGTGCCACCGAGACTCCCCTAACCAGCGCTGCCTGGAGAATGGAATTTGCCAGGCTTTTCCCCCCTCCCCCGCATACACACCCAGCTCAGGAGAGAGTGCCCCAGGGTTTCGGGGGAGCCCACACTGAGGTTCTAAGTCTTCCAGAACATTGGCTTGGTTCAGGGGGCTGCTTCTCAGGGAGGTAGAGGCCTGCAGCAGGGAGCAGGAAGGAAGAGGTACTGGGGACTAGTCGCTCTGCAGGGTGGCCCGGCCACCAGCTCAGGTCCCATCACTTATGACAAGAGTGATAGGCTGTATTAAAACACTGCCCCGGGGTGCCTGGGGGGCTCAGTTAGCCAAGCTACAGACTTTGGCTCAGGTCATGATCTCACGGTTTGTGGGTTAGAGCCCCGCGTCGGGCTCTGCGCTGACAGCTCGGAGCCTGGAGCCTGCTTCGGATTCTGTGTCTCCCTCTCTCTCTGCCTCTCCCCAACTTGTGCTGTTTGTCTGTCTCTCAAAAATAAATAAATGTAAAAAATGTTTAAAACAAACAAACACTGCCCTCTGGGGTGACAGAGCCTGGAGGGTCTTAGAAGACATGTCCTCTTTGGAAACCAAGAGAGAAGCTCGTGGAGACCTCATCTCAGGCCAAGTGAGTTTCCCGAATTCCTCTGCCCTGCAGGAAAGGGGCTGTGTGCAGCCAGAGGCCTCTGGGGACCTGGTGGCTAAGCTGCAAGTTGCCCTGCCTAACTCTACTCTGCGGGGGGCTGGCTTGTCCGTAGAAACAGGCCAGCAGGGGCACCTGGCTGGCTCAGTCCGAAGAGCAAGAGCACGTGGCTCTTGATCCCGGGGTTGTGAGTTCAAGTCTCACATTGTAAGTAGCGATCACTAAAAATAAACTTAGGAAAAAGAGAAGAAAAAGAAAAATGGCCCAAGCCCATCTTTCCCAGAGTAGGGATGAGGGTCCTCCCCAGGGCCACACAACCAGCAATTTCTAGACTAGCATCTCCATTCCCCTTACACTCCAGCATTGGGGTGTGTGGCCTGGA